AAAAAAAAAAAAAAAAAAAAAAATCTACATGGATCTGGTTCCGGCACCAAATACACACAAAGCCCAGGGAAAAGCACATGTGTGATGGGAAACGGGGGGCAGGGGGTTCTGATAAACACATGATCCAAGCAGCAGCAGCCTGGGTGGCAAGAGCTGGACACTGGACTGGGATCTGAGATGACTCCACTGGCATCTCCACATAACACGTGGGGAAACTAAGGCACAGAAAGGCCTCGCCCAGGGGCACACTGTTAAGGAGCGCAGGCAGAAGCCAGGCCCAGGCAGAGGGATGCTGTTCAAGGTTGTACACTCAGTCAACAGCTGGGACAGGAGTCCTGGGAGAGGGCTCTTCCCCACAGTGCTAATGGGCTGTGACCTCAGGACAGTCACATGGCCTTTCTGAAGCTCCATCTGCACACGTGGAAGGGAGAGAAACTGGACTAGGCCATCCCAGCTGCGCCTCCTAGCTCCTGAATCTTTACTTCTCAAGATGCTTGTGGGCTGGCGCTGGAGCGCATCTCCCAGGAAGCACTGGCCCAGCCCGGATGCTCCACCCCACACCCACACCCTCCTCCTCCTGTCCCAAGGCCCCACTCACTTCCTTCAGTGTCTCCTCTGTGGTATCAAAGTTGAGGTTTTTAATAAACAGAGTACACCCTGGAAGACTCTCATCTTCTTCCTCCTCCTCCTCCTCCTCCTCCTCCTCCTCCTCTTCCATCTTGGTTGTGGAGACTGCCGCTCCTTCATCTGCTGGCTTTTCATTTTCTGGGGTCTCGCGGTCAGCTATTGGCCCAACAAAAGCAAACAAATCCACCCATTAAATGGTGTGTAACCTACCAAAGCCTGAAGCCGTAAGGCACAGAATCTTCCAGATCAAATATGGCCTGCTCTATAGGCACTGCAGAGAGGGGCTGTGCTTGTATTGGCAGTGAGATGGTGAAGGAAAGGGATGAGGTAGGTGCGTGGGGAGGAAGAGAGCACGCAGAAGAGGCAGACGCAAGACAGAATGTTCTGCCGTCCGTCCTGCTTTACAGAGAACGGGACACGAAACGCCCATAACGGTGAGACCCCTGTAGGCCGAGGCTACACTATTTGAACTTCAAAATAAATGTATTTGTGAACTGTTCTTGAATCATGAACATCAGCAAAACGTTATTATTCCCCCCAAAAGGCAACACTTAGTGAAATTCCAAACTAAACTAAAAACTAAAAACTTTAAAAGTTCCAGAATGGGTGAAAAACTCAGAACATTCTTTTACCTCTAAAATCCCTACTTTAAATTGCCTTCAGGAAGTATACACATAAGAGTGTGGTTTTACCTATATGTGACATGCGAAATTCATGCAATTATATTACCTATAGCCTTGAAAAATACGACATATTCACAAACACATTAGGAAGGATATAGGACGTCGAGGGATGGATGAACGTGCCGGCACGGACAAGGATGTTTCTGAAGGATATTTAATGACATCAAACAAGAGTCCGTATATAAAAACTCAGATAACTTAGAAAAGCACAGTGCGACCGCCATCATGATCTAGTGTTTCTGAGAAAACGCGCGCGTGTGTGCACAGACACACGCAAGGGACAATGGGAGAGACACGCGTGAAGGCTCCGGGGTTTTCGCAGAACGAGACTCCGGTGGTCTCCTTTCAACCCATCACCCCTACCCCTGTGCACATCTGCTCTGTAGGGAGAGCATTTCAGTGAGAGGCATGTACACGTGTGTGTTGGTGAGGGGCGTGTGTGAGTGGTCTGTGCACACGAGTGTGCAGCGGCAGCATGGGTGGGGGCTGGGCAGTGTTTCTTGGTTTTGTTTTGTTTTTCTGGTGCTAGGCATCGAACTCTGGACCTTGTGCTTGTGAGGAAGGTGCTAGAACCACTCAACTAAATCCCCGGCCCTGGGCAGAGCTCTGATCAGAAAGGGCCATGCTGCTGAGCGAGGGTCTAAGCCTAGGAGGCTGTGAGCAGGGCAGCACCCGGACCTCTGGAGAGGCACTTCAAGGAAATGTGTCATTTTAGTTCAAACTTCCTAGGGTCCTCAAGGCCCCCTCCACAGCCCCCCAAAATCAGCCTGTCTGCTCCCCTGATCCCCTTCTCTCTCACCCTGCACACCTTGTGGGCAGAAGCTCCCGAAGGTCACGAGGACGGAAGCCGCTTCTCCCCACCCACCTTTGCGTCAACAGCTCCAACTCCCGCAAGACCTATGGGGGCTTCTTGGTGTCAAATCTCTCGGGCACCGGAGATGTCCCTGTTACCTGCCCTTACCGGGCAAACCCAGGGCGCTCAAGTCCTAATTGAGCTTCAATTGCTTTGTCACGAAACCCCCTTTCAAGGCGAATGGCGAAGGGAAACAGCCAGGAAAATGCAGTCTCCTTCACATCGGTGGGACTTGCAGCTGCCGCCCTTCACGGTGCACCCAGAATCCAGACTCAAGCCCAAGGACAAAAAGAGGAATTCTGCACAAAGGCTCCTCCCCAGCCGAGAGACTCCGTGGTGGGGCCATCTGTACTCAGAAGCCGACGTTCAAAGCCAAGAGGAGGAAAAAGCATTACTAACCACAGGAAGCAAAGCTATGCAAAGAGCTCCGACCTCAGGTCCTGCACAAGAACTCTGATCAAGACGGAAACCATGACCTTCAGCCAGAGCGACATTCCCACCCCACTGGATCTCCTTGGCATCTGACATGGCAGAGATGCAGGGAGGGAGGCCCATCAGATCGCCCGCCGCACCAGGACCTCTGCTCCCGGCCTCGGGTACTCGGTCTCCTTCACAGCCCAAGAGGCCATGCTTCCAAACACGGGACGGAGGGACATGCTAGAGGCTGCCGCACTTGTAGCCCAGCTCCCAGGGAGGAGAGGGTAACAACAGACCCGAAGAAGCTTCTATGGAGACAGTGTGTCAGGCATTGTGGTGACCAGGGTCTCGGCCATCACCCCACTTGACAATGGCTGACGGCGGCCACATGGTCAGCTCTGTGTGGCCAGAAGTTGAGTGAGAAGCTGAAAAACCCAGCTTTTTGGGGAAAACTGTTTTAATATCTTGGCATCTTCATGCAGTGACGTTGTGGCTTTTCTACTAGCAGTGGTCAACAAATCAGCTGCACCCTGCCTCTGGCAGACTGATGACCCTACCCTGCTGTCCCCAGGCCCTCAGTGTGCCCGGAGTAGGCAGCACCTTGCTCCAGAGCCTGTCTGTACGGTCCCAGCACCAGGCTTAGGAAGAAGTGACACTGGGCTTTAGTGACAGAGTGAGCTGAGCAAAGGCTGGGGTCAGCACCCCAGGAATGGACGGGTCCCCGCCCTGGCAGGTCGGCTGACCTCAGCCCCAGGCCAGGAGAGGGGACTGGAAGGATGGTGGGAGCCTAGAAGCCAGGCTGTGCGTCTGGCCGAGCCCAGGGCTCCCCTGGCTTCTCCAGCATCCAGTGCGTGAACCAACACCCCCACCCAACAGGCTGGAAATGGAGGAGGCACTCTGATGCTGAGGGAGCTCTGAGGACCGGCCCCAGGCCCATCAGGGACCACTGCACCCCAGCACTGCTGTGCACAGTCACCGCACCCAGGAGAGGCCACCAGACTTTCTCCTTCAGGCCCAGGTCTTGGCTGGATGCCTCGGGATCTCAGGTACTAGCTCAAGCTTGGGCTTACGCCTGTGGGTAACACCTGACCTCACTCTCAACCTTCCTCCGCTCCCTTCTCTCCATCCAGAATGGGGGCCAATGACAACAGTGCCTCCTACAGGATGCTCCCCAGAGAGCTACAGCACACAGGCCTTTGGACAGCACCTGCCTGGCCTGTGGCGAGCACCGGAGAAGTGACTGACCCTGTCCTTACTCTCCGTGTCTCCCTGGCTGCCCAGCTGGCCTTGCTGAGAAGCGCTCGCTCTAAGAGACAGAGGACACGGCTTCCCTTCCCTTCCCAGTCAGTGCCACACCTCCAAGTTACCCTGAGCTTCCCAAGGGCCCCAGCCAGCACTGCCTGGCCACGCCTGGGACCAGGGAGACACAACACAGCCAAGCGGCAGGAGAGGCAGCCAGACTGTTTAAAAACTACTTCTGCTCCTGGCCCCAAGTGTGGAGACAAAAGAGGAGAGAGAAAAATAAGGTATTGTGAAACTCAGATGTTTGCCCACCAAATCACCAGGACGCAGGAGAGGGGGTAGTGAGGAGGCAGGGCTGGGCCAGGGCGGGGGACCGCG